AAAGAAGGAAGGAAGGAAGGAAGGAAGGAAGGAAGGAAGGAAGGAAGGAAGGAAGGAAGGAAGGAAGGAAGGAAGGAAGGGAGGGAAGAAAGGCCAGATGTGGTGGCTCATGCCTATAATCCCAGTCCTTTGGGAGGCCAAGGCGGGTGGATCATCTGAGGTCAGGAGTTTGAGACCAGCCTGGCCAATATGGCAAAACGCCGTCTGTACTGAAATACAAAAATTAGCTGGGCATAGTGGTGCGTGCCTGTAATCCCAGCTACTCGGGAGGCTGAGGCAGGGAGAATTGCTTGAACCCAGGAGGCAGAGGTTGCCGTGAGCCAAGATTGCGCCACTGCACTCAAGCCTGGGCAACAGAGCAAGACTCAATTTAAAAAAAAAAAAAGAAGAAGAAGAAGTAAAAGAAGAAGGAGAAGGAGAAGGAGAAGAAGAAAATGTTGTAAAGGGCCCAGCACAGTGCCTGGCACATAGTTGGAGCTCAGACTTAGGAGATCACGGTGTTATTACAGGCGTTAGGGACCTGGCTCCAGCCCAGCACTTCCATCACCAGCGTGGGGCTCAGGCAAGTCCCCCCAGACCTCAGTGACCACATCTGGAACAGGAGAGGATGGGGCTACATGATCTCTGAGGTCCACACCATCATGAATATTCTCTGCCTTTACAAATAAAGCAGGTAAAAGGGGGGTGATCTGAGTGTAAGAAGAGACTGGCTGTGCTTTAAAATCCTGTAATTAGTGTTTGAACAGACACACAAAAATAGTAATTATCCAAGTGTGGTCGGGAATCTTGGGTTCTTTCATTAACTTGACAGAATTGCCAATGAGGTAGCATTTGGAAACACAAAACGACTCAATTCATTCCTCACTGATGGGAATCTTTAAGGGGAACACATCCCTTCCAGAAAGATCCAGATGAGAAAGCAGCAGATACGGGCTCAGCTGCTCAAACTAGCCCAGTCCAGGCTTGAAACCTCATTCATGATCCTCTTATCACCATTTCTAAATCAATCACAGGACAGGGCACTCAAGGGAACTGCCGAGAAGTGGCAGGAATAGGAAAGCACCCTGGGGACTGCTTCTGAAACCTGCAGCTCCCACCCCTTCCAAACAGAGTGGGGGAACTGCGGGGCAGGGTTTGCAGGAGCACCGGGCCTTGCCCCTCAGATGGGAAATGTCCGAGAGTCAGATAACAGAAAAGTTTCCAACTGGAGACTGTGGGAGGCTTAAGAAAAAAAGTCAATGTATAAAATCAAATCTTATGATAAACACCCAGAATGTGGTGTCAACACCACCATCCAAGGTGGCAAAAATGGATTTGAACTAAACCTTATGTGTTTACACCACACTAGGGCAGCCCCCCACTTGTTTGTCTTTGTCTTCCCAGCCTCCTAACATAACACCTGGTGTGTCCCAAGCACTGACCCACATGAATGCCTTAAATAAAGGAAAACAGGCAAATCCTAAGTCACCTGGCTTGGTTTCAGGAAACTACCATGATCTGGTATATCAGCTTTGTCTGATGGGAACCAGGTAGACATCTGAGCCTCTACACATCCTGCAGGCAGCAAGCTCTCTCCAGGGCCCAGAGAAAGGTCACATCCACAAATGGGCTGGGTTAGAACTACAGCACCAGCCCCTGGTTGCTACTTACTCATGCAGCGTCCAGAAATGATTTGAATGTCACAGCACCTCAGTGTCCAGCTTCTTCTGCTTCAAAACAATCCCAACTTCATACCAAATACACTTTTCTTCATTTTGCCATCTGTTCCGTTTGCAGGGGAGAGCATGCGGGCTTTTTCACCCATTTGGAGACCCTGCCTGTAGAACCCTCAAGACATTCATTTCCTTCATTCGTTCACTCTTTTTTTCAGACAAGGGATCTTAGGATCATTCATTCATTCTATACAGATTTGCTGATATTGTACAGGTTGCCTCTCAGAATCCAGTGCCTGTTCTCCACACCCATGCTGACTGGTAGGAGGGATAAAGACAGCCTTACACCCTGGGAGAGGCGGTCCAGAGTAGAAACATCAGACACTGTGGGAGAAAGAGCCAAAGAACAGGAGGGAACAGCCAGACTTGCATGTTAGATGTTTGGAGTCTGAAAATACCCAGAGAAAAGAAAGGTAGGTGTAACCTAGCATTTGAAAGTGCTAAACAGCAAGCCAGCACTCAGGGCAAGTGGCCAGGAAGCTTTCCAAGAAAAACTTCTGGGAGGATAAAGGGAGATCGGTGAAAGGACCGACCGCAAAGTCGGGCAGGTACTGCATGCATGACCCAATAACTACGGCTCTTGCGACCTCGCCAGGCTCTTCCAACCCGCACCCACCCGATATCCTTCCCTCCTTCAACCAACAAGTACTGACCTTGCCCGAACGCTGGGAGCTGGCCCTGTGCCCGGGGCAGAAGGGCCTGCTTTTTCTTGTATTCTCTCTAAGCCTGCAGGCTGCCCGCCTGGGGCGTCTCCAAGCACTAAACCCCACGTGACTCCATCTCCTCCCTCTTCCCCGGCTGGGTCCACGGGAGGTCCCTTACCCTCTGCTGGCTGTGCCCCACTTGCCAGGGAGCGCCTTCCTGCGAAGGGGAATCTGGGGACACCCCTGCCCGTGCCCGCCCACTTCCTACTCTGAAACCACAAATCCCCGGGAATGCCCCCCGCCCCGTCGGGTGGAAAATCGGCTCCTCGGGGTTCCTTCAACCCCAGAGTCCGGGGGCAGAGAGCTGAGTTTCGACCACCGACGAGGGCGCTAGCGGAAGGGGGAGGGGAGGAGGCGCACCCGCGGCCTTACCCGGGCATGAGGCCAGGGGGCACGTAGGCGGCATTGAACTCGGTCAGTAGGGTGCCTGCGCTGCGGGAGGCCATGGTGGGTGCGCGAGTGCAGCGAGCCTGGCGCTCCGCTCCGCCCCACGGTAAACAGCGGCGGGTCACCCGGCAACGGTCACGGCCACGGCGGCCCTCCTGGCAACGCCAGCTGGCCCCGCTGTCCTCGCGTTCCGGGACACTGCGCCCTTCTGGCGGCCCTCTCCCGGAGCAGCCCCACAGGGCGTGCACAGAAGGCGCCTCCCATTTCCGCGAGCTCTGCTGGGTGACCCCTGTCACTCTCCCCTGCGCATCGGGGCTCTCTGCCTTGCTGCCTGCGGGATGTGCAGAGGCTCGGATGTGGGACAGAGGCAGAAAATCGCTGTAGAGGCCTCGCAGGATCCGTCTTGCGGTGACCCGGCTTGGAACGCGACCCTACCACAAAGGACAGGCCAGGTCCTGACTTTGGAGGCCACGCGCAAAGCAGCTGCCCCACCGTGGCACAGGCCCAGAAATCCGAGTAGCCGAAGGGTCCCCAGGAGCTATGTCTCTTCAAGGCTTCCCCTGCACCCCAGCTCTATGGGGGTTCCAGGAAGGGGCTTTGCAGTGGGCCGCGCTGGGCGTGGTTGCCTAGGACGCTGTGCATAATTGTGTGTGTGTATGTGTGTGTGTGTGTGTGTACACGTGTGCGTGCGTGCGTGTGTGCGCGCGGGTTGCGAAGAGGGGCATTTTTCATGTTTCTCCTTAATCTCTAGCTGGTGGCTACCTTCTCACCTCATCATACCCTCAAACTACTCCATAAAAGGAGTTTTGTTGGTAAGGGGCAAAAAGAAAATCATAGAACGTCTGGGTGTGTGATTTACATCTGTCCCCAATGCTGCCGTTCATTTTGGGGATGGCATCTGCAGGGGTGGCGCTTGCCCCAGAGAGCAGGCCTCCTGAAGGCCCACCCCCTTGTGTAATCCTGCCTCCCTCCCTCCCTGCGACTGCTTCACCCGGGTTTCTCTAGGGACCCTCACACCAGCCTTGGTGCCTAGGGCAGGGCCAGGGCCTTTGGGTTTTTCATAAGGCGTGAGGGTATGGGGACAGCTTCCATGGTGCCAGGCTCTTGGTGACTCGGGTGGCGACCCTGCCACCCCAGCTCCCTCTGCAGCAGTGCTGGTGTCATGAAGAAGCCTGGCAGTTCCCCCTTCATCTCCGGATCTTGCTTCTTCCCTTCAGATGCCAGATGGAGAGCAGTGCTCCCTTCACACTTCGGTTCTGTAAATGGCAGTGGATGAAGACCACAGACACTATTGGGTTCACAGGATGCTGCCACCAGGATTCTCCAAAGACTCCCCCTGGCAAATGCCAGTGAAATGGAGGGGAGCCACATGCTTCCCAGAGGCTCAAGAAGCAGAAACACTGAGGCGTGGTGGGAAAGGGAAAGCTGTAGGCAAAGGAATGGCTGCAAACAAACTGGGTGGAAGGAAACTCCATCCATCCTTCAGAATGTAGTCATGTCTGTATTTTTCTCGATTCTCATTGGGGAACATGTCCTACAATAAGGAAAACATGAGTCAAACCCCCAGCCCTGGTGAGGTTGACCACCTACTCCCTCCCCCATTCAGGGCTGCCCAACCAGTCCTGCTGGTAAATCCACCACCCTGCCTTCCACCTGCCTGTGTTCTGGTCCGTCTGTCTCGTCTGATTGGGATCTTGTGCCATCCATATCATATTCATCCCTGAATCTCCGCACCTGGCTCTGGAAAGAATTCAGTAAACGTTCATTACATAAATTATATACTCAGTTACCAAAATGGGTAACAGAAGAATAGACACTAAAAAGTGGGATCTGGTCGGGCACAGTGAATCACACCCGTAATCCCAGCACTTTGGAAGGCCAAGGCAGGTCAGCAGTTCGAGACCAGCCTGGCCAACATGGTGAAACCCCGTCTCTACTAAAAATACAAACATTAGCTGGGTGTGGTAGCATACGCCTGTAGTCCCACCTATTCGGGAGGCTGAGACAGAAGAATTGCTTGAACCCGGGAGGCAGAGGTTGCAGTGAGCCTAGATCACTCCACTGCACTCCAGCCTGGGTGACAGAGTGAGACTCTGTCTCAAAAAAAAAAAAAAAAAGTGGGACCTGTCTTAGGTTTCAGAAGGGTCAGCTGACTCCACTGAGAGCTGCTGAGTGAAATTGCCACCATTTTATGGATGTGGAAAGTGAGATTCAGCAGCGATCAATGCCTTGGCTAGGGCAGGTTCATGGGCTTTTACTTAAAGATGCACAGGGTCTGTAAGAGGCCTCATGAATTTCACTCCCTTCAGGGGAGGACCTCCAGAGAACCAAGGAAGGAGATATTTTCTGTTGTTGTTGTTGTTTTACCTTGTAGCCACCAAGCCTTAAAAACACAGATCACCTGATGACCTCATGGATGGAAAATGCTAGTGAATTTAGGTGGTTTTTTTTTAAAGATATTAAACTTATCCAGGTTTTGAAAATTTAGCATTCACTTGTATTCGATAAACATAATACTCTAAGACATTTTAAAATTCAATATGGTTAGATAAATGTGAGAAAGGTAAGCAAGAATTGGTTAGGAAAAAGGGCAAAGGAAAAAAAACGTAAGTAGAAAAAGAAAAATAGGGCACAGTAGCAAGGAAATATCTAGAAGGAGGAAAGAAGGCTCTTGGGACATACTGTAGGTTATTTAGAATGTAGAATTCAAAGGAAGTAACCTCTTGTTACCATGCTGTGAAAAATTAGTATTTCTCTTTTAAACCTTTAGACTCTGTTTCAGGTAGATCCCTGAGCTTACTCTTTTCTCCTTTCAACAGTTATTGGGCAGTCTACGGTGCACAGGATACCATGTGGGGCTCTGGGGTAGAGGGATGCTGTGCTCCAGGGTCCTCCTGAGGTCAGTAAGGGAAGAGGCAAGGGAAGCAGCCCCAGGACTCAGTAAGATGAGAGGAGGAAGGAGCAGCACAGAGGAGCACCCCAACCCAGCCGGGGTGCAGGTGCAGAGGCACCTCCAGGAGGAGGCACTCGAACTGAGTCCAGGATGGGGTGGGGGGCATTCCACCAAGAATGAATGGCAAGAGCAAGGGTGCAGATGACCCAGCACAGCCTCCAGCATCAGGGATTCTGGCCCCCAGGGTCCCTTTCCTTGGTGCATGCTGCTGGAAGACAGGAGGGGGCAGTTCTCCTTTGGTCCTTAGAAATTTCACTGTAGACACCCCTTCTCCTGCCCCTAGCAGCTTATAAGAGCAGAAGGCCATTCAATTCTGCTCCTCTGACTGGAAAGCAAACAACAGCCTGCCTTACCTTCGCTAGCCTGCCTGACCCCCAGCCTTGGGGTGGGGCTAGGTTAGTGCCCTGGATCCTTAAACATGGCCCCTCGTAGCACATAAGCCTCGCTGTCTCCACAACCAGGCATCTCCATCATGCGTGGCCTGGTCCTGAGCTTCCCCTCAGGCAGCGGCCCCAGCCTCTCTGCTTCCTGAGATTCAGAAACAGTGATCCCAGGGCAGGGCTCAGGGCCCAGCCTCTTGGGGGCACAGTCTCCAGCAGGGAAGAGGCGGGCATAGGTGGACAAACACATTTCCTTCTTCTTGTAGTGTGCTCCTGTGGGTGGGAGTGCCCCCTGCCCCACACCCACCCCACCCATGCGCATGCCCATTCCTCTGTGCCCACTGCTGGTGGCAGGGCTTGCTTAGTAGGGAAGCAGCAGAGCCCTGCGGAGGGGTGGGCAGAGCCTCCCTTCCAGGAGCTGGGAGAAGACACCTGAGGCTGGACAGAGCTTTATCTGGGAGCTGGCGGCTGCTGAATAATGAATTCCAACTCTGCTGCACTCCCAGGCTGCACACTGGGTGCACACACACACACACGCACACACACACTGATACACACACGCTGGGCTGACAACTTGGAGGGGCGGGGGCTGGGAGGCTCTGTGAGTCGCTGCAGGAGCAGCTTAGCTCGGCTTGGTTGCCTTGGTCTCTGTGGGCAGCATCGGAGGGGGGTCGGGAGGAGGAGGAGGAGGCAGCCGCAGAGAAGAGAGAGGCGTGTGAGCCGCACTCCACCAGCTAGCTCCTTCCTGCTGCTCCTGCCTGGCAGTGCCAGGCAGCTCACACCAGCATGGCCCTGCTCATCCACCTCAAGACGGTCTCGGAGCTGCGGGGCAGGGGAGACCGGATCGCCAAAGTGACTTTCCGAGGTAGGGAAGCCCCTGTCTTAGAGGGACGCCAGCTCTGAGAGTTGGCCTGGCACATGCTCTGGAGGTGGCCGGGGATGGGACAGGGCTGGGAGGATGAGTGGGAAAAGTTCTAGCAGGGCCTGGGACAATGAGCCTTTTCACAGGTAGTCATCTGCCTGGGACTGACTGGCCATTGTGATTTCTGGAAAATCTCGGTTCCCTGTGCTTCCATGCCTGTGTCTCCTTGCGCTTGCCAACATGCCAGTGCCCGGGCAGGGTGCAGAGCCCTCTGCCTGGGGAGGCAGAAGTGAGGACCACATCCCTGAGCTCAGGGAGACCCAGGACCCCTCTTCCTCTCTCTCCCTCTCCTGCAGGTTGATTTCCTTGAGCACAGGGTAGGGGCCAGGTCTGGAGCCTGGGACACCCAGGGTGGCTGGGAGAAACCAGGCAGCCAGTAGCTCCCTAGGCCCCAGAGTGATGGGGGACACTGTTGGCTTCTCTTACATCTATTCATGGGTGGGGACCCTAGGAAACCCTCACCTCTCTTCTGTCTGGTCTTTTCTCATCCTTTTCACTCGTGTTTTCAGTGACCATTTATCATGATCTACTGTGTCCCAAGGATAGGGGTAGAAACACAGAGCTGAGCCCAACCCAGCCCCAGCCCCAAGGAGCCTGCATCTGTTGAGCAGGCGTGGGACAAGCAGCACAGATATGTGAGACAGAGGGTGGGGGTGAGTGCAGCATGCATGCTACAGAAGCAGCACCCTCACCCAGGCTGGTGACTGGTGGTCAGGGAAGGCTTCCCGGAGGAAGAAACACTCAGTTGATACCCGAGGGACCAGCAGGAGGGAGCTAGGAGAGGAGGTGAGGACTGAGTAGACAGGGGAAATGGTGTGCCCAGAGCTGAGAGGAGCTGAAACTCTGGAACCGAAAGAGGTTCCATGTGTCTACAGCCCGGAGAGTATGTAGGAGCGGAGGCCAGAGAGCCAGGCGGGGCAAGGATGCGAGGCAGGACCTGACCCCGTGGACAGCGGAGCCCCTGAGCATTTTAAGCGGGGAAAGGCAGGGCCAGGCTGACTGTATCCTTCACCACCCACCTCTGCCTCTTCATGTGGTCGCTCCCCAGCCCTGGGGGTTGGGGGTACTTCTCACTAGACACGGCCCCTTCTCCCAAGAGAGGGGTCTGAGAGTGGTGAAGAGGGGGCAGAGAGGACCCCACCATACTAAAGAGCAAAGTGAACCTTGGGGCCCAAGCTGGACACATGTCTGCACCTCTGCTGGAAGGGACTGGAGAGGCCATTGGCAGAACATTCCAGCAAGAGCCCTGGGGCACCCACATCACCTACTCAGAGGCCCTGGGATGCCCACACTGCAGCTTGTGTTCATAGGGACAGGCAGGGGTGGAGGTGATGGCAGTGGCCCTGCCAGCAGGAGGAGGTCAGGCAGAAGGGAGAGGGAGGTGTGGGCTGGGCTGCCTTTTGCCTCCCACCCCAACCCACTGACTGCTTTCTCTGCAGCACCCTGGACTTCCCTCTGTGTGCCACCTGCTGGCTCATGCTGGCTTTAGAAAAAGCAAATGTGTCCTTTCACATGTGAAATGTGGCCCTGAGCTCCACGGGCAGCATAGTGTGGGGTAGTTAAGCTACAGGTTGCCATCCTGCTGCAGCTGTGCTGAGACAGTCCAGTCTGCACCGGACAGGCCCATTTGCAGGCAGAGAAACGAAGACTCAGGGGTAGAACACTGTGCGTGGCATTCACAGAGGAGCTGAGGCACGGTGGTCCCAGCTCTCAGGATCCCATCCTGAGTACTCAATCCTGCAACCTCTTTATCTCCTCCTGGGCCACCTGGGAGGCAGCACCTTGTCTATCTGACACCCATCTTCTCCTTGAAGCAGCAAAGGGCTGGGCCTTTAGCCTCACTGACCAAACAGGAATTAGTCTATTTGCAACCCTTGCTCTCTGGACTGAGTGGAGAAATAGTTTCCAAGCTCCACATCAGCAGGAGGTGGCCATGGGCAGAGCTCCCGGGGAAGGGGGCTGGGCAGCAGGAATAGGCAGATGACAAGCAGTTTCCAGAAAGTTCCTTTTTTACAACCAGAGATGCCTCAGCCGCTCACCTGCAGCGTCCAGCAGTTGACAGCTGTAGGCATCCCAAAAGACCAACACCGACCACAATTCAGAGGGAATGGACCCACTCTACGACGTTCTGCAGCATCTCCCGGCACATGCAACCACTGGGGGCCGAGCAGGTCCTCTGCAGGGGGAAACAAGAAACTGGTAAACATGCAGAGGCAGACACTGGCCCCAGGCTCCCCAAGGCTTTTGAGTGAAGCTCAATGCTGGGGTGGGTAAGGGAGCCCTTGGTGAGTTGTGCCCATTGGCAGAGGCCCCAGGTAGGCCAGAGCAGCGGGTTGAAATATGGCTTGACCTTCTGTGCTGTGCCATCCAGGACACTAAGGAAAGAGCCCTGCTGGGCTATCATGGAAAAAGTTCTGGATATGGAGTCAGAAGCCTTAGATTCTACCTGGGTTCTGCCACTTACTTCACCCCTCTGACCCTCAGTTTCCTTATCTGTGAAATGGGCATGATAATAACGCGCACCTCACTAGACTGCTTCAGGGAAACCATAGGTATGGAAGAGTTTGAGAGAAGAGTATTCAAACAGCCGATGTGTGTGTGAGGCAGCCATTCCCGTTCTCCTTGGGAGCAGCTGTTGGCCCCTGAGTATCTTCTCTCCAGTCCAGCCTTCTCCCCCTGTCGGCCAGGAGTGAGCAGAGGGCCCCACGTGAGATATAAAGGGAAGAGGAGAACACATCTGATGGGTTCCAGCCTGTGCCAGGAGCAGGCAGATTGGGCCTGGCCTCAGCTCTGTAGGAGCCTCTGCTGAGATGTTGCACAGGAACCCAGGCAGGCAGACCCCCGAGACTCCTGTTCTCATCTGGCTGGGCGTGCACCAGCTTTGCCTGTGGCCACCTCTTTTCCCACTGCCCTCAGGTCAGTCAGCCCCACGCTCAGGTTCCTCAGTGCTCCCAGCCAGTTCTGTATCTAGCTCTTAGCTCTTACTGCCCCTGGCTGCTCCTAAGCTGGTCCTGCCCTGTTAGTGCATTTCCTGAACATGCTGATATTTGTGCACAGGCCTGGGACCCTGAGGTGAAGGGGCCAGGCTGGCCTTCCAGGAGTTACAATCCCACTGGGTCAGACAGGAGATAGGGAGTCCTGAGTGAATCTCCATTGTGCCTGCAGGCCACAGGGTTCAGCTGGGTTTCCCATTAACAAAATGGAGACAGTGATCCTCATTTAGCTCAGAGGCCTACAGTTCCCAGCAGTAATCAGGAGTGGGCTGTGTGAGAAGGAGCCATCTTGACCACAGGTTGCTACTCAAAGAGAGGAAGTATTAGCTTCAGGTATTTCCTTTATCAACTCCTGAGATGGTTCCCTACGTCAATGACAGAGCCACAGAACTCAGGGTGTGAGGGGTCCTGAAGTTCTTCTAGCCCAACCTTCTGTCCAGTGCTGAGCCCCAAGGCTGGGGGACCTGGACTGTCAGGGAACCAAGTGACAGACTGTCCAGGGCCAGCCCTGATGTCTCCCTTCTCTTTCCATCCCCTGAGCCTTCTCACCAAGACATGAGGTTTGGGGATTTTCTGTGTGAGACAAGAACGTCTGAAGGCTGGACCTGGCTTCCACATAATCCCCCGTGGCTGGGAATTGGCACGAAGGTTTGCAGGGCATCCACCTCCACCTTTTCATTCCTACTTCTCTTCCCACCCTACCCCTGATTCCCACCCTGCTATGTTCCCACTACATTCAACTTCCAGCCATTCCCAAAAGATACCACACCCTTTTACACCTCCAAGCCTTGAGACATGGATCATGTTTCTTCTGCCTGGAATGACCACCCTCCACCTTGAGAAAGCCCATTAATTCTGCTCATCCTTCAAGGCCCAGCTCACATGCCACCTCCTCCATGAAGCCTTCTCCTCCTCTAGCAGTACTCTGCACACATTCTTCCTACTGCTCTGCCACGGTATATTGCATTTCAGAAACTGGCCACACCTCTGCATGCTGCCCTAACTTTTGAGCATCTTCGAGACAGACATCAGACACGGTTTCTGTCTTTGCGGAATTCACTGTGTCATGGGTTTGAGTTCTTCCGCTGTGGCACTGCCACTCTTTGGCTCCATTTCCCCAACTATGAGCTCCCACCCCAGAACTTTCTATCCAAGGAGGAGCAAGGGACTGGAAGAGGCCTCAAGGCCCAAGAACCAAGAACCCTGGCTCTTACTCCTTCTATCAACTTCCCTAGCCCAGAGAATCTTCCAGGGCTCCAAAGGGGCCTAACAAATTTTTTTTTTTTTTAGACGGAGTCTCGCTCTGTCACCAGGCTGGAGTGCAGTGATGCGATCTCGGCTCACTGCAACCTCCGCCTCCTGGGTTCAAGCGATTCTTCTGCCTCAGCCTCTGGAGTAGCTGGGACTACGGGTGCCCGCCACCACGCCCGACTAATTTTTGTATTTTTAGTAGAGACGGTGTTTCACCATATTTCCCAGCCTGGTCTGTAACTCCTGACCTCATGATCCACCCGCCTTGGCCTCCCAAAGTGCTGGGATTACAGGCGTGAGCCACTGCGCCTGGTCAGGCCTCACAAGTATTAGCAAGCTCACCTCCAGCCCATAGGTGGGAAGCGAGAGGGATTGCATGTGTAAGCCAGAGTGAGTTAGGGGAAGACGGAGGAAGGAGAAAAGGCAGATGGGAAGGGAGGTGGGAGCAGACTCTGAGTTGGCCCCTGGAGCCCAGAAGGGAGGCAGGAGTTTTTATTGAGCAGGAGAAATGGGCAGTATTTAAGAAGCCACTGAAGGATGGTAGCTCATTGGC